ATGATGTCGCCTGACATAACGTCAAGCTATCTGAGGAAGCCGTTCGATGATTTCTAAAACACTAAAAAAAATGTTTTCTTGGAACAGATATTCGTTCACAACGACTTGAACTGTTATATGACTATATTCTTCTCTTCTCTGAGTCTTTCTAAAGATTATTGGGAGGCGAGATTAGAGGGCGGACATTCGTCCCCTCAATCGTGAAACATTACCGATTATCCAAAAATTTCGTTTTTCCTATGATAGAATTATTGATTTTACTTCAATTCTGCACACCTCGCGACACTTGATTAGACTTTAAGGTTAGTATTATATGAAACAAATTAATAGTAGTATTTATGAAAAAATCATATTCTCAAATACATAAAGAACAATAATACATTGATTTCAGTTTCCAGGAACATTCCGTATCTCTATAAGAATAATAGTTCAGTTTTTTGCTTAACTATAGTATGATTAGACTGAACGTTAAGAACTTCTATTTGTTTCATCGTCAACGAAATTACTGTCGACTTTTAAGGATTGGTCGAATTCATAGCTCTATATCAATAATCGTTTCATACTGTGAATCAAACAAATAAATGATCGCTGAAAAATTTTTCTGTGCCAAAAATCCACAACGCCTTGTACGGCCACATAGAAAATTTTATTTAGAATGGGTTTGTCTAACGCTAATCAGCCATATTTTGAATTCATATTTGGAATTGACATCGAGATTCTCTCAACTAGAGTAACCATCGATTACCTTGTACAGAAAGTGTACATTTCTGAATTTGATTTTCTAAGATTCTGACATGAAGTTGTAATAAACCTAGACATATCAATATACCACAAAAAAGTCTTATTTCTTTTTTTTTGCATCTTCAAGTGTATGTTTAAGATAATCAAGTAAGACAGAATGAGCTGAATGATCGTCAAAATAAAATACATCTGGATAACGAATTACTTGAGCAAGCCATGATAACTACAAAAAAAGTACCTAAAGGAATACTTTAAATTAGAATATTCTTTTTTCATTTTCTAACTTGTTCTTCAACACTAGTCCAACGTTCATAAAGTAAATTAATATATGCTGTTCAGTTGGTAAAACTCGGCAAAGTGCTGTTATAAGTAATATAAGAGCTTATCGATCACGTCCTAAAAGTCCTGGATGATCAAATTCTTTGACAGCATCTTCACAATTTACAGTTGGTGCCTGTAAAGATTATTTTATTCAAGAACAAAATAATAATACACAATATTTTTTTTTTGAAAATTTTACAATAAATCATTGGTTACTATTACAAATATATCAACATTCGAAGTTTATGATGAGTGTTTATTATTATTTGTTACCATTTCAATTCCGTTGGAATTCTAAATTTGTATATGATGTAAACGATTTACGAAGTTGTTTTTTGCAGACTCAATAGTGCGCGATTGATAAAGGATTCTTTAGACTATAAAATTTCTATGCAACGTTTCTTTTCATACAGAATTAAAATTTTCAAAAAATAGAATTTATTTTATAGTTAGGAAGGTGAGAGAGAAGGAGCTACGAAAAATTTACTTGTAACTAAATAAACAGTTCAAAAGTCGATCCTAAATGATGTAAATGAGAATCTGTCGGATCCACATTTTTTTCTGACTCGATCGAACCAGACTTTCATACTCTCAATAAAATTTTCCAAATCCCATTCTCGCAATAGAAAATCCTGTATCTTCTATTCCGTTTCATATATTTCCCAATTTTTAATTTAAGAGGCTTTTGAGAAAACATTTTTTAGGATTTTAAAAGTCCAGAAATAATATTGAACTTTGTCTTGTATAGTTTTCAGTTCAAAACTCTGACAACTAGATATAATTTGACATAAATCACTAATCGAACTTCTCATTTTTCGAAAACTTAATTATTTCATCCCCCCCTCTTTTGCCGTAAGCG